ATTGATGTACTCATGAAAAATATGAGATGATATAAATGAAAGCAAGCCACCAGGAAAGTTTCTTTCTTCTTCTTTTTTTTTTTTTTTTTTTTTTTGCTATTAATTCACATGAGAACTTGTCCCAGAAGTCCTTGTCTTCAGTATATCTTAGAACTATTCCTCTTTGGGCTCATTTGGCAGAGCCCATTGGGGCAAGCTTGCAAACCCCCGCTTACGTGTTAAGTTTGTCATCAGGACAGATCAGCAGGATGGGAAAGTAACAATGCCAAGTTCACAGCTACCTGTCCCCGAGTCAAGGTAACGGTCTTGTCTTGTCCAGGATGTCTATGGTCACTTTCCTCAATGCTTTCCTGCTGACGTCACAGGAGAATTTCTGTGCATCATCACATCACTTTTCTAGCATCAGTGGGGACTAAGACTCAGGCTGCTTGATGACCATGAAAAAGGAAAAACATAACTCAAACCTATCTTGCAGGATGTGGCTTGCTAGGCCAGGAGACTGATGAAGAGTTCCCTCTGCCAGAAGTTAGGTGCCTTGGTGATGTCAGCATGGGTGGAAAGCTAGCTACTTACAATCCTTCTCACTTAACCCTTGAAGTTAACTGCAGAAACGGGGCATGGAACCCTGCAGATATTCACAAAGTCACATTTATTGTTCATGTTGTCAAGTGATTCTCTGATTTCTAAGTTAATACTTTTATCTCATTGTGAGTTTGCCTATTTCTCATGTAATGTTGCCACTACTTACTATAAATATTTTTTTCATTTTCCTTCAAGTTGCACAATATAAGTAAATCCACATCTAATTGCATTGACTTTTCTTCTGTCAAATCCAATTTGCTGTTAAACTCAACCAGTGACTTATTTCAGGAGTATATTTTAATGGAGAGCATAGATTTGTTATATGGTAATATCTTCTGTTAGGCCAGTATGTTCTATTGTATCTTCCTAATCCCAAATTACAGCTCTGAATCCTGGTCTGTAATCTTGTAGGAGCAAGGAAACTCTGCTACCACATATTCTATTCAGATATGACATGGGTCAGATCATGACGTTTTAACTCTTACATCCGCCACAGACATGACACTTGGTAGATGTTGCGCTATCCTTGAAATATAAAAGGCCCTCCTATTTGAAGATGACACTTGCCTTCCATCATCTGCCTTCTTCTGGTTATGAGTGAGACACCAGGGTGTGACCATCGGCCTCATTCCCATGGCAAGTCTTTTATCAATGTGTCTTAGTCCATTCAGGCTGCTATAACAAACATAACCATAGATGAGGTGACTGACACACAACAGACATTGATTTCTCACAACTCGGGAGACTGGAAGTCCAAGATCAAGGTGCTGGCAGATTCTGTGTGTCTGGTGAGGGACTGCCTCCTGGTTCATGGATGCCATATTTTCTCTGTGTCCTCACATGGTAGGAGGGGTGAGGGAGCTCTGTGGGGTCTTGTTTATAAGGACACTCCACCCTTATGACTTAACCACCTCCCACAGGCCCCATCCCCTAAGACCATCACACTGAGAGAAATTTGGGGGAGACACAAGCATTCAGCCTCTAGCACAATGCAAAAGGAAGTTTTTTATTTGTGTCTCTACCTACAGTTCCTCAGTCCTGAAACTGAATGAGATTCTATTTCTCAGACTTGAATAAATTTTATTTGCAGCTTTTCTTCTAAAAGTCCACCTGCTGTACAGGTCTCAGATTCCTCTATCTTTTAATCAACCAGCTCGATAGCCCAGGTACGTGCAATGTGGAAAGTTTTGACTGATGTTCTCTGTCCTCACTGAACCATGTGAAGGTATATATTATAGAGTCAGAAAAAGGTTTATGGCATGACTTGGCATGACCTTTTGAGAATTCTATAAAAGTCATTTTCCTCACATGTATGAGAGGAATTCATTCATTCATTCCTACATTCACTCATTTTACTAGTTCTTCTTGATCATGACATTTGTGCCACATGTTTGTTCCAGTGTGGTTGGGGTAGGCAAAAACAAACAACTGTTTTGGAGGATAATACAGGAAAAATAATAAAGCAGTGTTAAACTTCATAATATGATGAGTTTCTCCAATATAAAACTGAGATCATGTCACTTTTACGTGTTAGGGCTGTTATGACTGTCTAAAATACTTAGAACAGCACTGGGCATATAGAATTTATTCTATAAGGTTTATCAATTGAAAGTAAAATGAGAAGCTAGGCCTATAAAGACATAATTGCCAGACAGGGTTTCTATCAATAGCTATAAGCAGTGATTCTCAAACCTGAATGTGTATTAGAATTACCAGGAAGGCTAGTTAAAGCCAGATCACTGGGCCTTGACCCCAAGTGTTCAACTCAGCAGATCTTAGGATGTGCCTAAAAAAATTAAATCTCTAACAGATTCTCCACGACAGTGATACTGCTGCTGTAGAGACCCAACTTTATGAGCAAGTGGACTGGGACCATGAGCCTCGAACTTGAGTGTGTATCAGATCAGGACCCAGAAACTGATCAGATATGTAAGTGAAGGCCTCAAATTCCACATGATGGTTAGGCTGAAGTCTGGGCAGCTGAGAGGATTATATTGTGGGATGTTTTTTATTCCTCTAACAGTTTTTATTCCTATGGCTTCTGCTGTCCAGTGGTGGTATGGGGAATAGGGCAAGGAAACAGAGGTACCTCGTATGTATTATACATGCTTGAAAACCTTCTCAGATTCTAAGTTCAAAACACAGAATTCCTTCCCCAAAATGCCAAATGGTTTAATATTCTACTCATTCTTCTAATCTTTGTAATAAAAGGCCCCAAATGCATCTCCAGGCGGGGTAGACACAGTAAAGGAATGGGAGTTAGAAGGCCTCCTTCCACTTAGATCTCAGCCTCCAACTCGTGGCCTTCCACACGCCACTCAGCTCTCAGGGAGTCAGTGTCCTCATCTGTCAAGTGAGGAGGCAAACCACATAATCTTTATATTCAACACCTCCTGAAGAGGCTCTCCACACACAGTTGTTCCCTTTTCTAAGAAAGACTGCAACTCCACAGAAGCAGGATTTGAGTAGCTCCTTCTGCTCCTCCTTGGCCTAATTATAAAGCAGGAAGAGACTCTAGTTATAGGACCCTTGTTCTAGTTTGGGCCATTCATGTTCCTCCCAGGATTTGGAATTTAAATAGAAAAATAAATAATGGGTACAGATTTTTGGCAGCAAGATCATGTTGATGACAACACTCTGAAGATTTATTATGAGGCCTGGTACCCCTACACCTTAAATGTTGGCTTTTTTTAATTCCCCAAATCCCACCAGAAATTCTTCCCCTATACTAATCTTTTTTTGCTATTAACTACAGTTAGAGTCTATTGAATGCAACTCCAACAACAGCAAACTTTATTTCTGTAAACTTTTTTTTTCTCTGATAGATGTTTGTGCCTTTGAATATGGATTGATCACATTGAACTTCTAAAATCTGTACCTATAAAGAATAAAGGGAGTTATAAATATATGTGACAAATACCATAGCCTTCATTAAAGTAATCTCATCCCAACCCAAGAGACCTTGGACATATGAATTTGAATATGAATATTGAATTTTCCATTAAAAATGGGATAGAGATTTGAGCAATTTTATATAAATCTCAAAGGACAGAAGGTCCCAAAAGTCTAAAGGTGTGGGGATCATCCAGTGTAATGCTATCTTACTTACATAATAAGCTGGACAAAATGTTTGAAATCCCCTGTATTTTTACAATACGCTTTTCGGAGTAATAGCTGTTCTAACTCCAGTAACTTATAATGATCATTTCTTCCAATACTAATGACTTTGGCTATATATAATTTTTTCTAGGAAAGTTCAACTTAGGCATCTTTTTTATTTTTCTCTATTTTTTTTAAGTGTAACTATCCCTTTAGAAACATGAATGTATCTTCTCATCTTTCTAAAAGGGACTTGCAGGTCAATCTCACACATTACTGGCATGTGGATGTAATTTTAAATAGTCTCTTAAAGACCTAGAGAAAAGAGCACCTGATATGCTAACAACATCTCTGGAAAACATGAAATCCTAACATGTATATAATGGAGGGAGGATCAAATAAAATAAATAAGCAACAGTCAAATCAAACAAACAAAAAATCCTTGATCCAAAATGACTAATGCCACCAAATATATATAGTATTTTCTAGACCCTGTTACCCTTCTGTGTCCTATAAAGAATTCACGTCTCATTCCAACTTTTAAGTCTACCAGAGAGGTAGAAAAAAAAAAACAAACTGGCGAAGCAAGAAGCTACATTAAAAACTGGTTAAGCAAGAAGCACTTAATTGAATATTTGCTGCATACAAAATACAATGCTAAGTCTGGAAAAAAAAAAAAAACTGAACGTGACAGTTTTTATATTCCAAGAGTTCACAAGCCATTGAAAAATCTTATGGGAAGCAAGAGAGGAAGTGAATGACCCAAAAAGGTAATTTTGTGATTCAAGAGAAGCTGCAATATTTCAGAGAAGGTCTTTTAAGGATGAAAAGGGACTCTGACATGTAGATTCACATGAAGATAAAGATTTTCCCCACTGGATGGAATAAACATAAAATGTATGAAGACAGAGGAGTTCCAGGGAGTTAATGGGATAAGAAATAGGGTGATTGGTGTAAAGTTCAGAATATGTTTGTATGTGGCAGGAGCATATATCCGAAAGGAGAGTTTGGGAATGGATCACTGAGGGCCTGGTAAGTCAGAAAAGAGGATGGTTTTCACCTTACATGTGTAGCAAGCCTTTGAGATGGGGGACATTTAGCATTAGTTGGGATTTGGGCAGGGATTCCTCTCCTTCAGTGATTCTGAATTACTATGCTAAGTCTTTCCAATGCCAGAAGATCAGAAATAAACTCACAGTGGTATGCCGTGAATGTTGGGGAACATTCCTACATGCTTCCTAGATCAATGCTGAAATGTCCTTTGTAGGAAATGTATTTCAGGCTGATCCCTCTCCTCCTTCACACTCACAGCTCTATTAGGACACACCTATACACTAAAATAAAAGGTCATAGAGTCTTTTAAATCTACCACCAAGGCCATTAGCATTTTTTTTTCTTTTTTGCCCTTGGAGATCTTGCTCAACTACAGGGATTCTGTCCCAGCACTTGTATGGCAGGGAATCAGCCTAAGTGTACACTAACAACTGAAATATTCTGAGTTCTGAACTTAATTCTGCTTTAGATTTGCTGCATTATGCTGGGAAATGCCTTTGCATTCTTTCCTGGCTCTTTCATCACTGAAATGGTGTTAATAAAAGTCATCACCTGTCCACCTACCAGGGATATTGTGAAGATAAACTCATATCCTTAGTCAAGCATGCAGCCAACAGAATTCTCAATAGTAACTGCATTAATAACCATAACAGCAGCACGGAGATGTTACCCTGCTGTGAGTATGATAATTTGTGGGCTCGAGAACTCAACTTGAGACCTGTGATAGTAGAAATCTATGAGGAGGGCGCCTGGGTGGCTCAGATGGTTAAGCGTCTTCCTCCGGCTCAGGTCATGATCTCAGGGTCCTGGGATCGAGTCCCGCATCGGGCTTCCTGCTCCTTGGGAGCCTGCTTCTCCCTCTGCCTCTCTCTCTCTCTCTTTCTGTCTCTCATGAATAAATAAATAAAATCTTTAAAAAAATAAAAAAATAAATCTATGAGGAGGTGAAGCTCTCATTGGCACACTCTTTGGAGATGCCTGTTTCTTTAGATTTTCCATAGAGATTAGAAATATTTGTCTGTATTTGGGAAGGTGGGGGGAGAGTTTATTCTCTCTTACAGCTTTACATTGAATAACAAACGAGTGCTTGCATCCACACACAATACAATTTTAAGAATCAACAGACTGGTCACCTTATTTTTCTTATTACTTGTCTGTTACAGTGTTGGCAGAGCATGGAATGGAATGTGCATAAGACTGAGACATCCAGTATGTAAACAGGTAACTGCCTACACAGTATGATGTGCTGAGGGTTAAGATGTTTCCCTGACACCTTTTCTTGATATGCCTCCAGGTGTGAAATTTTCAGGACTTGGTCTTCTGGGAACAGAGGCATTGCTAATTGTGAGAGGCTAGCACACTGGTAGGGCTTAGTTCACCTGATTAGGCTTTTTTGTCAAATAGAAAAAACGGGGGTAGGAACATAGCCAGAGGAGGTTGGGATGTACAATGCTGCGCCATCTGCTCGGGTCTGCATTCAGGGTGAGGTAAGTGCTCTAATAAATGATTCCTAATGCCCAGCCCTTCACCGGTAGACGTTTACTTCCTGCTCAAATAGCTCTTCATGCGTGTCTCTAAGACAACCTTCTGTGCATTGTTTCAGAGACCCGGACCCCTTTTACTATGAGGTGTTGCTCTCCCTATGACCTCTGAGCCCTTCATCCAGCCTTCCAATAGGGAAAGAGGGTGAGGATTTTATAAGAAAGTTTTTAGTGGACAGACCATGAAGTGAACATGAGCAGTAAACAGCACAAGTTTTGGTGTCACACAAACCACATATTTACTCACTCTGCCAATTGTATTAGCCACGTGACCTTGGATAAAGTGTTAATATGCCACATAATAGGTACATGCTCTTGAATGCATTTTCCTTTTTCTCCTCCTCTTTGCCTTCTCTCTCCCTCTTTCCTCTTACTTTCATTCTTTAATAAAAAATACCTCAGCCTTCTTTTCTTCTTGGGACCTTCCTCATAGGGTAGTGTTGAGAATCATCTTAGGCAAAGCAGATAAAAATTAGCACTGTGTCTGGGACCAAATAGGACCTCAAACACTCATTAGTTTCCATCATTTTTACCCAACCAATAATATCTGCGCTGGGGGAAACAACAGTAGGTTACAGGCACCTGAGCTTCTCTCTCTTCAACACCTGGCTACACATGAGTGGAAAAGGATCTTTCAGTCTACTGGACATCAAATAATGAGGATATTGACTGTGTGTCCTGACCCTATGCCCATGTTCCTAGAGACAGGGTATGGAGAAAATTTGGGGCTGCAAAATTCAACTGTAGTTACCTCATTTGTCAGAGATGTAGCTTCCTTTCCAAATGTTTTGAAGAACATGTACCAGTGCAAGAAAATGAGGCTTTTTGTTACAACAAACTGCATGAGATCCTAGAATCTTTTGGGATTTGAGCCTTATATGTTCTTTAGCCAGTCTATCTAGACTACTTGAATCTGCTTAATTGAGCTACAAATCTGTGAGTATGAGTTCTTAAGGGATCTTGTAAATGTCCTGCTTATGGATAAATAAAATGATTACAAAGTAGTCCTTTGCACCGTGCTTGGCTGCCAGGGCCTATGAAATGAAAAGTAAGATGAGAGGAAACAGGCACATTCTAAAATATAGAGAAGAGTTGGTTCAGATTCAGGATTAGTTGTGTGCAGATGTTGCTTATTGGCTCGTTTAAAGAAAGTTTTCTCACTTCAAATCTGAGAGATGATCTTCTGTCCCCTGGAAATGGGACATAGATTGAGATATTTTTCCTATCAATTGGCCTTCTTGTTCTACTACTGTAATGTTCAAAGGGTTCTGAACAAATAGTAATTAAAGGTATGATTCTTTCTGAAAGGGAGATGAAGTCATAAAACCCTAAAGTTAATGTAATTTCTCAACACATTTGTATCATTGGTATTCTGAGATCCACCCACACTTAAAATTCATGGAAGCTTTCTGAATTTCAAAATGCTTATCATCCTACCAAAAAGAAGAAAAAAAATGATGTGGTTAAAAACCAGGTGTTGGAGGCCAGCTGAGGCCGAAGTTTGGCTGTTCCTTGGCATTTTAAGCACTATGAATAATGTAAATTCTGTTTTCTGAAAATGCTTCAAGAAGAAGAATTAGTGGTCTAATCTGATCTTTACTAGCTACATCCTTTTTCACTTCTGGCCATTATTTACAGAAACAAGAAATGGAAGCCATGTATTTATAATTATAATTTGTCAAGCTGAAACACCAAATTAATATAATCAATCCCATTGTTAGGTTAATTTCCATTTACCCACCTGAACAAATGACTTTATCTCTCCAGCTTCAAGACTCCAGGCTTTCTTATGTTTTAACATGCAACAATGGTCATAGAGATGGGATTTTCTGCAAAATATTAATGTTGGTATATTTGAATATTTCATTTCTTACCAGCAGAATATTTGATTTGAAAAATTACACTTGAGTATCAAAATGGGCAACGTAAGTAGTGGGTTTATAAAAACAGAATCTACCCTTTTCCCAAACACATGTTACCAATGAGGATTTCTAAACCAGCTTTTCATATAATTATTGTCTTTCAGCTTCATTTTAAAACTGTATCTTAAACCAGGTTAGGAAACTGATAACTGGCTCAAAACCAGTGTCCGTGAGATTGAAAATGTTCCAATGAAAAATAAACCCCTGACACAGCCAAATTAAATTTCATAAAGTTCATCCAAGCTTCTTGGCCTTTACTTCCAAATTTATTTTATCATATGTACCATAAATTGAAAAGCAACAGGAAAAGTTATGCTGAACAGCTGTCCTACTATTATAAAAATTCTGGAAATGAAATTAACTATGCTTTGTGATTCCATTTCAGCACTGATGATGAGGAAGCTACATTACAAAGGAGATATCCTTTGCTGCCTTTTCCAAACATTCACGAGGACAGATGATGCATTTGTGGTGTAAAACATATTCTCTGCACATGTATGAGCAGGCAGAATAAAGCATGTAAGTTCTAAAGACTGATCCAGAGAGGCACTAAAACCCCAGTGATCTTAAAAAAAAACAAAAAAATCTTTACTTATAAATTTACATAACTCCTTAAAATTATCCCTATTACTTATGACTTTGGCTCATATAGTTTTAGGATCCACAGTTCTTTAGGTGAAAAACCAAAATAACTTGTACTTGTAGGGGGAATTGCGTATAATGAAGCGATCTCACATACAGTATCTCACGTGATCTTCGCACCCTGGTTTTACAGAAGAAAATGTGGGTGAAGTTCCATGGATACCAAAGGACCCTGCCACAGGCACATGACTGATCCTGAAGATTTGAATCCCAGAGGCTTTCTCCTTATGTGATGACAGTAACTTTATTATTGCATTGTATATATTAATTGATCTTGCCCGGAAGTGCTAGGAGAAGTTCGTTTTCATGAGCAGCAAAAGGAAATAACCTGAAGCACTGACCTATGTCTAGAAGGACAGGCCAGTTTGGATGGAGAGTTCAGAAACGTATGTAACAACAAGAGAAAGGAGAGGAGAAAGAATAGCTTTCAGGTGCCCCAAACAAAAACCTTTCTGCTGAAACACCACTCAAAATGCTGTAAGAAAATTTAAACAGTCACACACACATACTCATACTCACACACAAAGACACACAGACTGCATTAGTCAGCTGTCAAGGAAGTGAAGTATTCTGAAAAACTGAAAACCAATGTACAAATGGGATCGAAAAGGAAAACAGGACACTGGATTTTACTCTAAGATATCTAATAAAACCTGGCAAACATGAGTTTTGATTTTAAAAACTGAAGATAAAGAAGGGCATGACCAGGGTAGAGAATCTAAAAGGACTCCAGAAGTCTATACCTCTGTGTAGTGGCATGCTGAAGAAGAACCTGCCCCACAGAGTAAGATAGGAAAGGGCCTTGGACCAGGTTGGAAGAAGAAAGCCAAGCCATGTATGAAATTAAGTGCTGAATTTTCCTCTAAAAGAAAAATTAATTTACTGTGGCCCCAGGTTTATGGTATACATAGAAGAAAATGCAATCTCTTTTGAAGGAATAGCACTTTGATTCACTCTGCAGAATATTCTCACATAAAAAATGTAAGAAAGCTAAGATTGAATGAAGTTAAAAAGAAAATCACAAGACACACAAGAAAGCAAGCTAAAAAGTTATTAAAAGAAAAATTAAAAAGCAAATATATATAAAAATGATGAAACATTTAAAAAATAGCCAAATTGAAACCTAGGCCTGAAAAATAAAATCAATGAAAATTTTTTAAAAAATCAGGTTTAACAGCAGTTCTAGACGAAGAAAGAACTAAAGAAATACATTGTATATTTGAAAAACTTTTCAAGATGGCAAAAGAGACAGGTTGAAAACATGGAAGATGAGTGAAGACAAACTGACACTAGAGGAAGCCGTCTAACGTTTGAGTTGGAGTTCATGGAGGAGAGATGAAAATGACCAGAGGAAGGACAGCAGTCAGAGAATGGCTGGAAAATTTCTGGAAATTCTGGTTAGTGTTAATACTCTAGTTCAGGACCCAGTGAATTCCAGACAACAAATGTAGAAAAAATAAAACTAGTCATATTACACAGAAACATTAAATCCCAAAGACAGAGAAGGTGTTAATAGAAAAAGAGGGAATAAAACAAGACAAAGTTAAACAAAGAACACCTGAAAAAGATCAAGAAAGTTAAATGTACCCTCTCATCAGCAACAATGGGAACTATCAACTGAAAACTTTATTTTCAACAAAACTCTCTGAATATATTTATAATCACAATATGTCAACGGACTTAGCTCTGCAATTAAAAGACAAGGTTGTTAGAATAGATAAATAAACCAATAAATCAATCTATATGCCATTTACAAGGGACAAACCTAAAACTTTAGGACAGAGAGGATTGAAAAATAATAAAAAAATGATATATCATCTATAAAGCAAATACTAAGCAAAAGAAAGTTGGTCTAACTATATTATCATCGTAAAATATATTTTAGGCCAAAACTTAAATTACTCAAGTTAAAGAGGGCTATCAAATAATGATAAAAAAAAATTTGAATTCACCAAGAAAATATGAAATCCTATACTTGCATGCACTAAATAATGTTCCTTCAAATTATGTAAAGCAAATGTGGACAGAAATAAGGAATAATTGAAAAATCCATCATAGTTAGAGATTCAATACAGATCTTTTGGTAATTGATAGATCAAACAAACAAATAGTAAAATCAGTTAGTAAGTGACTATAAAACAAGCTTACTATAATGCAGTTGTATTAAAACCAAATATTGAAGAATACTCACTCTTGTAAGAATGCATGTATATTTATATAATATCTATATATTCTCAGTCTTAGCAATATGCACCAAAATCAAAATCATATTTTATATTCACTAGAAAAACAAACATTAAAATCTGACAATATGAAATTTTTTGAGATACGCTTTACTAGTAAAAGAAATGGTTGTACATTAAAGTTTTTTTAATTAACAGATCTTCTTGTTTAAAGAAATCTTAGATATATAGAAAACTGAACAGGTAGTACAGAGTTCCCATGTATTCCTACCCCTGCTTATATTTTTTCTTGCTATTATTAATATCTTGCCTCAACATAGCATATTCATTACAAATGATGAATCAGTATTGAGAGCTTATCATTAGCTAAAGTCCATTGTTGGCATTAGGGTTCACTCTGTGTTTTACAGTTCTGAGGGTTTCAACAAATGCATCATGCCATGTATCCACCATTAGAGTATAATACAGAATAACATCACTGACTTAAAAACATTCCATGCTTCATCTGTAAGATCTCCCTTTTTCCCCATAAACCTTTGAAAATCACTGATAATTTATTGTCTCTACAGTTTTTACTTTTCCAGAGTTCCAAGTTGCAATAAAACTGTATGGAGCCTTTTTAGATTGTCTTCTTTCACTTAGTCATATGCATTTAAGGTTACTCCATGTCTCTTCATGGCTTTACAGCTCTATTTCTTTTTATCACTGAATAATACCCCATTGTATGGATTCATCAATTTGCCTATTGAAGGACACCTTGATTGCTTCTAATTTTTGACAATTTGAATAAAGATATTATACACATTCATGTGCAGGTTTTTGTATCCAGTTTTCAGCTTATTTGGATAAATACCAGTAAGCACAAATGCTGGAACACATACAAGAGTACAGTTAGTTGTGTAAGAAACTGCCAAACTATTTTCCAAAGTGGCTGTACCATTTTGCATTCCCACCAACAACGAATGAGAGTTCTTTGCGCTCTGCATCTTCACCAGCATTTGGTGTTGTTAGTATTTTAGACTTTGCATGCTAATAGATGTCTAGGGGTGCTCACTATTGTTTCAATTTGTAATTCCCTGAAGATACATGATGTTAAACATTTTTTCAGATGCTTTATCTGCCATATGTATACCTTCTTTGATGATGTATCTGTACAGATCCTTTCCTCTTTTTAGTTAAGATGTTTGTTTTCTTATTGTTGAATTTCAAGATTTCTTGATATATTTTGAAGATAAGTCTTTTATTAGATAGGTGTTTTGCAAATATTTCCTTCTAGTCTATGGCTGTCTTTTCATTCTCTTAACAGTATCTGTCAAAGAGCAGAAATTCCAAACTTTAATGAAATCTAACATTAATTTTTTTCTGCAATGGATCATGCTTTTGGTGTTATATCTAAAGAGTCATTGCCAGATCCAAAGTCACCTATATTTTCTTCAATATTATTTTATAAAAGTTGTATGATTTGGTATTTACATTTAGGTCAATGGTCCATTTTAAGTTAATTTTTGTGAAAGGTAAAAACTTTGGGTCTTGATTTATTGGTTTGATTGTGGATGTCCAGTTGTTCTTGCACCATTTGTTAAAAAGGCCACCTTTGCTCCTTTGTCAAAGATCAGTTGACTATATGTATGTGGGTCTATTTCTGAGACCTCTATTCTGTCCCATCAATCTACTTATCTATCATTTTGCCAATACTGCAATGTTTTTATCATTGTGGCTTTATAGTAGGTCTTGAGGTTGAGTAGTGTCAGTCTCCAACTTTGTTTTTCAATATTGTATTGGCCATTCTTGGTCATTTTCCTCTCCATATAAAATTTAGAATTAGTTTCTTGATATCTACAAAATAACTTACCAGAATTTTGGGAGGATTGCATTGAATCTATAGATTAAGTTGGAAATAGCTTGACAATATTGAATCTTTCTACTAATGCACCTGGAATATTTCTCCATTTATTTGGTTCTTCTTTAATGTTTTTCATCAAAGTTTTGTGTATTTCCTGATAAAGATCTTATACACATTTTGTTAGATTTATTTCTATGTGCATCCTTTTTTTTTTGGTGCTAAATTATATTGTGTTTTTAATTTCAAGTTCCAATTGCTTATTGCTAGTATATGAGGAAGCAATTGACTTTTGTTTATTAACCTTATATTGAGAACCTTGTTATAAGCACTTATTTTCATGAGTTTTTTTTTCAACAATCATGTGATCCATGAACAATTTTAGTTCTTCAATCCTATTTACCTTTATTTCCTTTTCTTGTTTTACTGCATTAGGTAGACTTCCAATATAAGGTTGAATAAGAGTGATGAGTGGAGACATCTTTGCTTTGTCCTGATCTTAGGTAGAATGCTTCTAGTTTTTCACAACTATCTTTGATGTTAGCTTGTAAATTATTGTGTAGGGTTTTTTTCTTTTGTTTTCTTTTGTTTTGTTTTTTATCAAGCTGAGGAAGTCCATCTCTATTCCCACTTTTTAGGGAGTTTTATGAATTAGTGTTAGGTTTTGTCAAATGTTTTTTCTGCATCAATTGACATGATCATATGATTTTCCTTCTTTAGCCTGTTGATATGATGATTACATTAATTGATTACATTAATTGATTTTCAAATCTTGAAATACCATTGCATACCTGAGGTAATTCCCATTTAGTTATGGTATAGAATTCTCTTATATATTATTTGAGTCAAGCTGCTATTATTATATTGAGGATTTTGCTTCTGTTTACAGGAAGTTTTCCTTTACTGTAGTGTCTTTATCTGGGGTAATGCTGGCCTCATAGAATAAGTATGAAGTATTACCTCTGTTTCTATTTTCTGAAAGAAATTTTTAAGAAATGGTATTTTTTAAATATTTGGTGGAATTCACCAGTGAAACTATATCTGGTGCTTTCTTTTTAGGAAGTTATTATTGACTCAATTTCTTTAATAAATTACCTATATCTCTTTGTGGGAAATTTGTTAGATTGTGTCTTTCAAGGAATTGATACATATCATTTATCAAATTTTATGTCCTAGGGTTGTTCATAATATTCCTCTATCATTCTTTTAATGTCCATGAAATCATTAGTGATAGCTCTACTTCAATTCTGATATTAGTAACTTTTATATTTGCTCTTTCCTATCTTATTCAGCCTGGTTAGAAGGTTATCATTTTATTGGTATTTTCATCAATAAAAAGAAACAGGTTCTGATTTTATTGACTTCCTATATTTTCCTGTTTCCATTCAAATCTGCTCTAATTTTTCTTTTCTTCTGCACTCATCAGATTTGCATTCCTCTTCCTTCTCCAGTTTCATTAAGTGGAAGCTTTAGTTATTGATTTTAGATGTATCTACTTTCTGATGTACACATTCAATGCTGTATGTTTCCTTCTAAGTATTGCTTTTCCTGCATCCCATAATTCTGGATGTTTTATATTCAAATTCAAACTTCATTCAAATTGAAAAAATTGATTTTATTTAGTTTTTAATATTCTTAATTTCTTTGGAGACTTCTTTGACCCATGTATTATTTAAAAGTGTGTTGCTGGACCTCCAATATCTTAGGTTTTCCAGCCACCTTTCTGATATTGATTTCTAGTTTAATCCCATTGTATTATGAGTACCTATTCTGTATGATTTCTATCCTTTTGTATTTAAGATATGCTTTATGCCATAGAATATGATCTTTGTGAATGTTCCAAGTGAACTTGAAAAAAAAATGTGTAATCTTCTGTTGTTGAAGTCCAGGCAGTCAACTGATGGTGCTGTTCAACTATATCCTTACTCATTTGTGCCTGTTTTATCTGTCAATTACTGATAAAAGCTGTGTTGAAATTTCCTACTCTAATAGTGGATTAATCTTTCTCCTTACCATTCTATCAGTTTTTTCTTCACATACTCCGATTCCCTGCTGGTAAATGCATATACATCATGGATTGTTATGCCTTCTTGAAGAATTGACCCCTTTTTGTTATCTTATGTCCCTCTTTTTTAACATTCAAATGCTTTATTTGAATGATTAATAATCATATTTCCAACAGTGCATCAGCATCTGAGAATAACATTATTTTGAGTAAAAGAAGAAATCTGGAGAGACTCCCCCCTCTCAGGTCAGGCAGCTCAAACGTCCACCACATGGAGCAGTGCAGAGAGATGAAGCTCAGAGGCGACTTCCTCCTCCCTTGAACTCAGGATCAGCCTTTCCAGGGGCTTCAGGTTCTGTCAGAGGTGCCTGTTGCCACCAACACTTGCAGCTGCTCCCTGTCCTTCATTCTGAAGGCTGGCAGTGCAGAGGATTCTGCATCACAGGTCAAAAATCTAGCAGACAGTGGAATCCGCATCTGAGGAAGGTAAAGAAGGGGGGAAGTCGAACTGGTAAATGCTCCTGAGTCTTCAGACAACCACAGATGAAGCTGATCTTCATACCTCTTGCTCTCCTCTTCCTCCAGCAGCAGAGGATTAGTCAGACAGTGGGCCAGGAGCTCCTGGGCAGAGACTCTACTCCTCATATCCTCCACCCTGAAATTCACACTCCTCTTTACTGTTCCCACAGTAAAGTAACAGAGTAGGAAAAATGTTTGCAGAAGGAAAAAAAGACTTTATCCCCAAGTTCTCCTGACTCAGCTGATGTTCCTTCCGCCTCTGCATTCTGGTTTGTTCCCATGACAAAGGCACATCATATTTTTTTTCAAATATTTTTTAAAAAGATATACATCTCCCTAACCATCTTCACTTGGTGCCTCTGATATAATGGGAAGCCTGGGGGATGTCAGGCCTCAGTTTGTAGCTCATGTACAAGGCAATGACCTTGTGCCACGGGATCTGGGCAACTGAGGGCAGTGCCCCCCCAAGTAGGGAAGGAGCTCTTGCTCTTCCACGTGCAGTGGGTTGTGCGGAACGGTTTCCCTGCCTGGGACTGGAGGACGGGCTGGGGATCTGGGAGGCATACAGGATGACTGTGGAGCACAAAGGGAGCAGGGGGCCCCCGGGCGGCAGAAAGTCCATCTGCAGAAGCTGGAAGCCGAGCGCAGCCTGCCTCACCAGGCCGGCGGGTGCTCAGGACATTTCAGTGCCAGCGGCGAGTAGGCCCCTAACACCCACCCACCCCCGCCCCCACCTCAGCAAACTCAGTGACAGGCCAGGACAGGTAACAGAGCTGCTCACAGGGGAGAGAGGCTGCAGGACCGCCTGGCCTCACAGGAGTCCGGCACCATCATCGAGCTGTTAAAGGTCTGGTCCTGTGGTCTCCTGTGAGAAACCCGCCGCTAAACCCACGCCAACTCCATCTTACACGTACTGAATGCGGATCCAGCAGCAAAGGTCAAGGGCACAGGGGCCACAGCTGACCAAGCAGTGCACCCGTGAAACCTGAGCTGGGCCTCATAAAGCATTAATGGGATCAGGAATCTCAATACGATCTGAAATCAGTTTACTGACACCAAATCCTGCAGCATCTGGCCGTCCTCCCCTTCCTTCTCGACCGCGTCTGCTCCCGCGCCGCGCACTGCAACATGCTGAGGACCGACTTCCTGGGGATGCTGGGACGCTGGAGCCCGCCAGCATCCCGAGCCTCTCCGGGGCTGTCTGGTTTTGTCCACACACACACGGGGCTGACCGAGCGGGAACTGGGGAGACCCTGGGCTGCCGCACCCCTGCACGGATCAGTGGGCTGCATCCTGGTACTATCCAAGCACTGTGTGTGCAAAACCAGTGCTCTTCCTTAAACAGTCCATTGAATTTGGGAGCTGACCTTCACCCTCACCATGAGCCTCTGAGGCCTGCCGCCGGCCCCCTGCAGAGACTGCGTTTCCAGCCATGCCAGGCGGAAGATGCGGCAGATCGACTTCCGGTCCGCGGGTTCCTGTCGCCGGTGTGGCCTCGTTCCCGCAGCGCGGGGTTCCCTGCTCCCGCCACGCGGCTGGCCTGTGAGGCCACTCCTTACCACTGACAAGGTTTATTTTTGGTTTATGTAACGCGTCAGTGCCTGTGCAAGCGGAAGCTGACAAGTCCCAAGAGCTGCAGGCCGAGTCGGGGAGCTGGAGACAGGAGAGCCCAGGGTGCAGCTGCGGTTCGGGGCCGTCAGGCTCACGCCCCCAGAGGAGGCGTCGTGTGAGTTCCGTGTGAGGTCCGTGGCGCAGGCCACGCTCCGTGGTGACAGCAGGCGGGGAAGGAGAAGGGTCGGCCTCTTGGTTGTGTGCAGGCCTTCAGAGATTGGACGAGGCCTGTGGGCATGTGGAGGCCATTCAGATGGACTCCAAGCCCTCCGACTCCAGTGTCCCCCTCCAGAAACCCCCTCCCAGGCGCCCCCGGAGTGACGTGTGACCGCGCACCTGCTGACGCCAGGTGGACACAGATGTCACCCATCACGTCATCCGTAACTTAAGTACAGGTGAAAGTAGGGACGTGGGAGAAACGGAGGTTAGAGCGTGGGAAGGCCCGTATAAAACGTGCTGAGTCACTGGCATTGTGTTCATGTCTCGCTTACATCAGTTCTTCAACGATATTTAACCACATGTTATTGGTTTTATTGTTTTTCATCCCACTTACAGTGCTAGTCGCTGATCAGAGACCGCACCCAGGTGTCAACCAATGTTGAAATTATAATGGCGGTGTTGACACAGGCTCTGATTTGAATTTTTTTCTTCCTAATCGAAATGAAGTGTTGAGATATAGTTCAGCAGATAAAATGGACACATATAAAGAACTTGGTTTATTTTATCACAAAGTACCGTATATATCTAGGGGTCAAGCTATAGAACTTTTTAATCTTCACAACCGATGAGACGATTTTTTTTTGCCATATAGTTAATGTCATGAAGCGTACTTTGGAAAAATATTACCATTGGGGAAACAGGGATGAGTAGCTTTAGAAAGCTTTAAGCTTTAGAAAGCTTAAAATTAAATATAGGTGAGGCCAGGAAAACCACTGTGCATTTCATGTACATGTTAAGTTCAGTAGAAAAATAGTATTTTACAAAGCTAAGCTTTTTATAGAGATACTAATAAATATTAAGTTTAAATAATACTTATAAAAGTCATGGTTTTGTTTATTAATGTAACATCTGTCATTACTCTCTTTTTAACATTCTGATCATTAGTTTTATTTCTTAGCTGTTTATTTTCACTCTTTTATCTACGTTTTCCTGTTGTACACAGAAAAGAGTGTATGAAAAGATAATTAAGGAGACACTACAGATTATAGGGTACTTTAAAGATATATTGTAAGCTTGTAGACATAATATAATTTTATTTGTTTTAAGATACAGTGAATAAAAGTGTCTAGATTGGCTGCTAAATTCTTATATGTTTAGAGCTTCATTCATAAAGAGAAAGGACTAAAGGTTACTCTTCTATTTTAATTCACAAAATAAAAACTATTTCAAGCATACTTAATGTGTAAAGTATATATACCAGAGAGAAATGGGTTCTAATCACATGCTTGACTTGAGAAACCTAATTTAGTTGCTGAGAAAAGTTAATTTGATTGAAACATTTTTGTTGATGTCATTTTAACAGTCCAACATAGTTGGTACTTTCACTTGAAGACTGATTAATTGGTGACAAGCTGATTTTTGATTCTTGTATCTAATGTGGAGATATTTGAGTTAGTGCTAATCATAAGTGAAATTTACAAATTATGGGTTTATATTTAGTATTTATTTAGAATTTTTTTCTGTGCAGTTACTTAGCTACGTTGAACTATAGCTACTTAACTATATTTTTTTAAAAAATCAAGTTATCAGAGTGTTTTCACTGGTAAAATAATTCTGATCAATTACTCATACCATATATAAAAATCAATTCTGATTAATGGTAGTTCTAAATGAGAAAGTTAAAACACCAAATCTTCTAGAAGAAAATATAGAAGGAAATCTCAAGTACCCAGATCAGGTAAATAGAGCACAAGAAGCAATAACCATAAAGTAAAAAAATAAAAATAAAAATAAAATAACATTGGTCTCCATTTAAACTAAGGAATTCTGTTCATTAATGATGCCACAAAAGTGAAAATATAAGTTACAACATGGATGAATGTTATTTTTAAGTTTAACAAACGAAGTCTCTACCATGTAACCCCCTGCAAAAAGCCACTGAAAATCTTGGACATAATACAAAAAACAGCTACCTGAAGGCACTGAAGAGTGGACAGTAGCAGAAAGATCCTAGTGAGGAGTACATGCTTTCTGAGAGGATTGGCGACTGACAGCTATAAAGATTCCGTGGCCTGCACAGTGGCATAGGGCAGCAGACATGGAAGATACCCGCAGTCTATCTAGCTAGGGACATCTGACAAGTGAGCTGGAAAGCAAATGCTGAAGAGATGGAGAGAATCCCATAAGAGAAAGAGCTAGAGAAGATCACCCAAATCTTTCCACGCACATCTCTGACTAAGCTCTGAAACCCATGTGTAAGAGGGGCTAAATAATCATCTAAGCTAAAGACAAATGATCTGACTCAGACCTGAGTTGACTCTTAAGGAGTAGACTTTGTGGCTCAAACAGGGTCAAATTATCTGCTAATGTATATGAAACAATATTCATCAGAGAAACGTAATAGAATCGAGAACCTCCTTAAGTTGAAATTCATAACACCCGAGATGTAATCCAAGGTTAACAATGTGAAGAATCCAAAAAATAGAACACAGTCTCAGAAGAAAAGAAAATCAGTAGAGCCTGTTCTGAGATGAACCAGATATCTCAACTAACAGACAAGAATTTTTTTTTATTAACATATAATGTATTATTTGTTTCAGGGGTACAGGTCTGTGATTCATCAGTCTTACACAACTCACAGTGCTCACCATAGTACCAGACAAGAATTTTAAAGCAGACATTGTATGTATTCTTAATAAATAAACTCAAATATATATATCCAGCTTTTGAAGACTCATAGGACATGAAATTTTAAAATTTGTTTAAATTTTCTTAACACAGTTCCCCTATTCTTACATGAATAGATTTTTTTCATTCCTCTTAAACCCTGTTAACATCAAGGAATAAATATTTTGAAGCACTGTTGTAGGTGATAAAACAATAATGAAACAAGGGTCCTGACTCTAAGCCCCTTTCACCCTTGTGGAAGATGTAACAAGAATGCAGATACCTCTGTCACAGGACATTTAGTGTTATGCGCTATAAATATCCAAAAATGTGCTAGAAATTCTAACAATGTGTCTTACGTGTCACTTCTCAGAGGCAGTTCAAAGTCATGAGAATGAGACCCTTTGAGCTAAATTTCCTCCAGGAGTCTCTGTTTTTAATATAACCCACAAGTACTAGAAATATTATCACTTTCTTTTTTTTTTTAAAGATTTTATTTATTTATTTGAGAGAGAGAGAATGAGAGAGAGCACATGAGAGAGGGGAGGGTCAAAGGGAGAAGCAGACTCCCTGCCGAGCAGGAAGCCTGATGCGGGACTCCATTCAGGGACTCCAGGATCATGACCTGAACCAAAAGCAGTTGCTTAACCAACTGAGCCACCCAGGCGCCCCTAGAAATATTATCACTTTCTTAATAAGTTGAGTTTTGAAGAGAACTCTCTTAAGAAACAAGGAAGATGGTTTTGATACCTCATTGTGTAGATGCAGGAACTGTAGGGGAACGTAATATTGCTGAGCAAGTAGAAGATTCTGTGGTTATTTAGAGGTCATGACAAATGTACCTAATCTGTATAGTTCCACATAACATCTAGGGAACTCTTAAGCCTACTTTGCTAATAAAATAGAAACTAAAAGGTGAAATACTTTCACGTATTGCCATGTCGAGCAATCCAAATTGAAGCCTAAAGGAAAGATTGATCTGTGCTTTATGTCTTTTCTCTGCCTTTCTCAAGGTTCCTAATAGAATTGATTTATTTGAGCATCTACTTTTTAAATGAACAGTGTCTAGCCAAGTGTATGCCTACAGTCACCTTCAGCACCTTGTCATTTAAGAGGTATGGTGACCCTAGACCAGCAGCTTTTACAGTAGTTTATCTTTCTTTGAACTTTACACACCTTGAGCCCAATTTGCTGAGTAGGTGTGTTTCTCCCTGTTCATATTTTTAACTTTTGGAAGCTGCTTTACCTTTTATG